AACAATGTCATAACCTTTGAGGGTGAGATCTTCAAAACTTGCCCGACCAAACATAAAGACCTTGAAATTCGTTACCACTGATCTATCCAGCTGTGATGACTCAGTGAAAAACTTTTGCAAAATACCAGGAGTGATTCTCTCGACCACAACATTTGGAAGGCCTCTTTTGTACTTCTGTTGTAGCCGTGATCCAACTGCGATAACTAAATCTGCTGCTCTACACAGCTCAATTTCATTTTTATGTTTCTTTTCATTCTCTTCAATGGTATCGACAGTACCACTCTGGGGTGCCTTGAACTTTCCAAGGTCTTCACAAAACACATGGACAAAATGCATCCACTTGCAGTTTGCGGTTTGGACAATACAATAGGCAGGCGTACCAAACTTTCTTCCGTGGCCTACCACGATGTCCGGATTCCGAAGTTCCGGCGGTGGAATTTTCAGCCAATCCTGATGATCAGTCGATCCAGGAATACTCTTGGCAGTGATCAAATTCACTCCATGTTGCCTGGCGTCTTCTCTTCCCAGTTCGTCGCTTTGGGCAACGTAGCAATGAACTTTGATGCTGTCGCTTGCTGTTTTTGCCAAATTAACAGCAAATTCTCTGTTGAAAGTGGACAGACCACCTTTTGAAGACTTCCACTCGTCACAGAGAAACATAACATCGATACACTTCGAATGTTTCTGCCGTTCATCGTTACTTGCCGCACTCGAGGTTTGTTCGCAGGCCATTATGCGCACGACAGAGCTTCCTTTCAGCAGTTAATGACTCTTCTTTTGCTGAAGAGCAGCTTCGTCGGTTGCTTCCTCGTNTCTTCAATGGTATCGACAGTACCACTCTGGGGTGCCTTGAACTTTCCAAGGTCTTCACAAAACACATGGACAAAATGCATCCACTTGCACTTTGCGGTTTGGACAATAAAATAGGCAGGGATACCAAACTTTCTTCCGTGGCCTACCACGATGTCCGGGTTCCGAAGTTCCGGCGGTGGAATTTTCAGCCAATCGTGGTGATCAGTCGATCCAGGAATACTCTTGGCAGTGATCAAATTCACTCCATGTTGTCTGGCGTCTTCTCTTCCCGGTTCGTCGCTTTGGGCAACGTAGCAATGAACTTTGATACTGTCGCTTGCTGTTTTTGCCAAATTAACAGCAAATTCTCTGTTGAAAGTGGACATACCACCTTTTGCAGACCTCCACTCGTCACAGAGAAACATAACATCGATACACTTCGAATGTTTCCGCCGTTCATCGTTACTTGCCGCACTCAAGGTTTGTTCGCAGGCCATTATGTGCACAACAGAGCTTCCTCTCAGCAGTTAATGACTCTCCTTTTCCTGAAGAGCAGTTTTCGTCGGCATTCTCGTCCCCATAGCCCTTTTCGCTCCTCTTAGCCGGCAGGGCCTTAGCCATTCTCGTCCCCATAGCCCTTTTCGCTCCTCTTAGCCGGCAGGGCCTTGGCACGAGAATCGAAGAACTCTGGTCGTTCTCTGGTCGTTCTCTGGTGTACCGTTGCAGTTATGTCCTATGTGGCAGACATGTCCTCTGACGTAATGTGATGTACGCAGTCAATCATATCATGCGTTCTACCTAATAACACGCAGTATAAGACTGGTAACTAAACTCCGTTGCAGTTCGGTCTTCGAGCAAAATTGATTTT